ACTCACAGGTGGCTCTGGCACCAGCCCTCCCTGGGCTGCCCTTGGGGGTGCCCTAAGACCTTGGCCCAGCAAGGCGGAAGGGCTCCTAGGGACAGGGGGCTGATCTTGGCCTCCAAACACCTGCAGCCTTTCTTGGGGGCTTTGGAGACAGGAGCTTGGTGCTCCACCCTGAGGCCATTCTAGGCTGTGCCCAGGGTTGGGTTTCCAGGGTTTAGAGGGGCCCATTGGCTGGAGAAGACTGAAATGTGAAGTGGGAATGAAACGCTCATTCAAGGGAGGCGTTTAAATGCTCAAAGGCGGATAGAAAGATCCAAAAGAAAAAAAACCGCAGCTCCAAGGATTTGGGTGCTTTGGGCCCTTTCTGAAACACACAAAGGAAAGAGGAGGATGGAGTCAGACAAGAGTGATGCGGAAGCATCGTGAATGGAGTGCACTCTCCATGAGCCCTGGGCTCTGGGCAAGGGTCTGAGGGTGCCCCCCTCCAACCCACCCAGGCAGGCTGCTCCTGCAGTGGGGTGAAGGCATCTGATGGCTCTTGGTCATCCATAAAGTGCCTGCCTCCATCCTGCCTGGAGCACCTCCCTAGAGGAGGATATCAGCACCCCCAGCCCCCACCCTGAGGGATGTTGGACCCTCCTCAGGGCAGCCAAAGGCCAGGCCAGCTGAGCCCTGACAAGCAGACACAGCTGCACAGGAGAGGCGCCAGGCAGGGGATCCAGCTCAGCCACTCCCCTCTGGTCAGAGGCTTGGCTACTGACCAGACCCCAGGAGGCTGAGCTCTCCTTGCTAGCAAGCATCCCCCGAGCCCATACCTGAGGATGAGGGAGAGCCAGGCAGGTCCAGGTGAGGGGAAGCGAGGAGACCTGGCGGGGAAGGCTGGTGCCAGCTGGCCCACGCCTGTGAGAGAAAGGTGTCTCTGAGGCACCTCCAGAGGGAGGACAGTCAGATGGCCCTGCAGAGGGCCCTGCTGATCTGGCCCCCGCCTCTTTTGGACGTCATTCTGGTGCCCTTGCTCATGCTGTCATCATGATCTTCTGGACACAACTCCCATCTTTCCTGTCAGTGTCTCCTCTGTGACCAAGGTTGCAGCCCTCCTGCGTGGGGTCTTCAGTGACCCAGCCCTGCAGGGGTACAACCCCTTCTCTGTAGGTGAGCATTTGGGGGAGCCCTGCCGTGAGAGAGCCTTGCTGTGGGAGTGTCCTGCTGTGGGGGAGTCCCATGGGCAGTTCACTAGGACAGAACAGGCATTGCAAAATTCGCCCTGGACGGAAGTATGCTGGTGCCTGCAGCTTTCTTTGAAATGCCTGGCAAATGAGATGGACTGGTGGATGTGGAGGGATGGAGTGTGATAAAGCAAAGAGAGTGAAATGTTATGGTACAGCCATGGTGGCGGGTGTTCAGCTGTGCACTTTAGAATGTTTTCTACTTTTTCTGCCTAGAAATCTGTAAAAATGTCTATAATAAAATGTTGGGGATCACATAGAGGAGTAGGGAAAGTCGATTTTCTGCAGGACAGGCCTGGCTGGGCAGCTCAACTTGCCCCCAGGAGTCCCCTCTCAGTCTAGAAAACTGTTTTGCTTTCCCATGCTGATGTTGGTTTTTACCCTTTGTTCACCTCTACACTCAAGGCAGCAACACACTCCTATCATTAATAGAAGCTATGGCAATGAGTTTGGGGGTAAGGGCTAAGTGTATTTTAAGAAATCTCAAGTAGCTCTAAGATGCCCCTGTGGAGCCTGGAGGGCAGGCTGGACTTTGCAAAGCAGATGCTGTGGCTTCCTGGCAGTCCAGGCATCTGTTTCTGTATTGTCCTTTCCTGTCTCTGCAGATTCCAGGGCTGGGGAAGGGGCGCTGTGGACACAAGGTGGCCAGTATTTTAAGAGGGCACCACAGGCTGGGTATGGTGGCTCATGTCTGTAATCCCAGCACTTTGAGAGGCTGAGGTGGGCGAATCACTTGAGGTCAGGAGTTGAAGACCAGCCTGGCAAACATGATAAAACCCCCTTTCTACTAAAAATACAAAAACTAGCCGGGTGTGGTGGCGTGTGCTTGTGGTCCCAGCTACTCGGGAGACTGAGGCAGGAGAATTGCTTGAACCCGGGAGACGGAAGTTGCAGTGAGCCGAGATCACGCCATTGCACTCCAGCCTGGGCAACAGAGAGAGACCCTGTCTCAAAAAAAGAAAAAGAAAAGAAAAAAAAAGGGCACCATAGCCCCTAGGGCTGAAATGGCAGGTTCACAGCCATTGGAGAGGGCTGTCCTGGTCTTGCTGTTATCACCCATGTGGTGTCGGGCAGTGTTTCTGTGACCCGTAATGTGGTCACACAGAAACAACTCAGTTCCTGGGCTGCGTCTGCAGAGCCCATCTGGGAATGGGCTGGACACTGGTGACTGGTGACTGCAGAGCATCCTGGTTTGGAAGGGGCTTCCCTGTGAGGGGACTGGCAGGAGCTTCCATCCATGTCTGTAAGCCTAGGGCCTGGCGAGAGGCCCACCCAGGCTTGGCACCTGGGGCAAGGGACTGTCCCCAGAGCCTCTCTGGGCTCCTTCTAGGATGGTTCTCAGGCCTTGGCCTGAATCTAGCTTCTGCCAACACTAGGAGCTGGCTTGGTCCTTGGGTTATAGCCAGGAAGGTGACTGGGATGTGCCCAGAGAGGCCCAGAGGACCGGCTGGTGGGCATGTTTGGGAGGCAAAGGCAAGGAACACCTCCAGCCACAGGTTGTGGGGGGTGGGGTCCAGAGCCTCCTCTTTCCTGTGATGTCACTGAAGGCCAGGCCTGCATGGCACTCCTCATGATGTCATGGGGGTTGGGGATTTCCAACATGGTGTGGTGGGAGTCAGGTCATAAAGTCATTCTATGTGATATTAGCAGGGGCCAGCACATTCCATATGATGTCACAGGGGGACAGCCAGAGTCTCTGGCATTCCATGAGGTATCTTTAGGGGTGGGGCTGCTAAGGTCACTAGGGGCCAGCCATCAAGCCATTTTAGGTGACATCATTAGACCCTCTGGAATTTTGCATCTCATGTGACATCACTGTGGGCAGGGCTGCCACAGCATTCAGTGTGCTATTACTGGAGGCCGGGCGTGCAGAATTTGGCATCGTGCATGATGTCACCACAAGTGTAGCCTGAGCCATCATGACATCCCAAGTAATGTCCCAGAAGGTGTGGCCTTCCTGAGATCCCATGGGGAATTCCCAGGGTGGAGTTGCAGTGGCATTCTGTGTGGTTACACTGAAGATGGGGCCTCCAGAATGTAACATTCTGTGATGTTATTGGGGCTCAGGGTTTGGGAACTGGCTCCCAAACCTGCACCCCGCCTCCTGGAGGTATGACGCCAACTACAGAACCCTAAGCCCTGCCCCATTTCCCAGCCAATTTTGCTCACCCAGGCAGGGTTGTCAGCTACCTCACCATCTCCACATCTGCCAGGTAGCACAAAGCACCGTGCACTAAGATGCTTTTGAGTGGGTGCATTTATCCTGCCTTTCAGCCTGGCAATGTCTCTGGGATGCTGCTGTATCTTAGCTCCTGCATCTCTCTTTTCTCCTGGATTCTGAAAAGTGCTCCATAGCTTTACAGGGTACAGGGGTTATAAGAGGCTAACCAAGGTTACAAATAGCCTGCATTTTTTTTTTTTTTTTTTTTTTTTTAAGACAGAGTCTCGTTCTATCACCCAGGCTGGAGTACAGTGGCATGATCTTAGCTCACTGCAACCTCTACCTCCTGGGTTCAATCAAGGGTTCAAGTGATTCTCCTGCCTCAGCCTCCTGAGTAGCTGGGACTACGGGCACACGCCAGCATATCCAGCTAATTCTTTTGTATTTTTGGTAGACAGGGTTTCACCATGTTAGCCAGGCTGATCTTGAACTCCTGACCTCAGGTGATCTGCCTGCCTCTGCCTCCCAAAGTGCTGGGATTACAGGCATGAGCCATCACACCTGGCTGCCTGCAAATTTTTCTTTTTTCTTTTTTCTTTTTTTTTTTTTGAGATGAAGTCTTGCTTAGTCACCCAGGCTGGAGTGCGATGGCGCGATCTCGGCTCACTGCAAGCTCCGCCTCCCGGGTTCAAGCGATTCTCCTGCCCCAGCCTCCCAAGTAGCTGGGACTACAGGCGCCTACCACTGCGCCTGGCTAATTTTTGTATTTTTAATAGGACGGGGGTTTCACCATATTGGCCAGGCTGGTCTCGAACTCCTGACCTTGTGATCCACCCACTTTGGCCTCCCAAAGTGCTGGGATTACAGGCGTGAGCCACCGTGCCTGGCGGCCACCTGCAAATTTTTAAGAGACAGGGTCTCCCTCTGTCACCCATGCTGGAGTTCAGTGGTGAGCGACCATAGCTCGTTGTAACCTCAAACTCCTAGGCTGGAGTGACCTTCTCACCTGCCTCCTGAGTAGCTAGAACTACAGCCATGCACCACCACACACTGCCAAATATTTTTATTTTTGTAGAAACAGGGTCTGGGCTGTTACCTGGGCTGGCCTCAAACTCCTGGCCTCAAGCAATTCTCCTACCTCAGCCTCCCAAAATGTTGGGATTACAGGCATGAGCCACCATGTCAGGCAGCCTCCAAACCTTAATGGCTCAGCACAACAAATGTTTCTCATTCATGCAATGTCCAATACAGTGTTCCCTAATCATCTCTCCTCCTCACCATGTCCTGCATTCAGTCAGTCAACAAGCAGAGAGTGTGCAGGACCACAAGGATGGTTGCTAGGGGCAGACCTGGAAGGGGCATACATTGCTTCCACCCTCATTCCAGTGGCCAGAGCTAGTCCCAAGGCCGCAGTCAGACACAAAGCTCTAAGCAATGTGGTAGTCATGTGCCGGAAAGAGGAACTAGGCTTGGTGAGCAGCTGGTACTGGCCGTAGCGAATGAAAAACAAAATGACGGCTTCTGCTGAATATTCCCGAGTGACTCTTCCCCAGGAACTGGCCCTTCCTCAGGACCACCTTCCTTATGCTCACCCCCCACCTCTGCTATCCAATCAGATCACACCAGGCAGCAAGGCAGCCCAGTCCCAGCTCAGCCAGGGTGACCTTGTGGTGGCCATTGACGGCGTCAACACAGACACCATGACCCACCTGGAAGCCCAGAACAAGATCAAGTCTGCCAGCTACAACTTGAGCCTCACCCTGCAGAAGTAGGTGGGAGCTCTCCAGAGCAGGGGGCGGAGGCTTGGGTGTGGGCATGGGGCAGGGGCCAAAAGAGGGATAGTCCCACAGCAATTGAGTGGGCCTAGCCCTGGGCTACAGAACTGTGCCGGAAGATAAGGACAGCCTTGGGTCAGAGGAACAACCAGGCCCAAGTCGCTGTCAAGCACCTAGAGGCAGACATTACTGCCTCACTTTACAGATAAGGCTGAGAGGGTGGTCCTGGTGCTGCCCATATGTGGGCCATTGGTCCTGGAAGGCAGGTCTTCCCTGCTTCCACTTTGCCCCGGCATCCCCCAGTGACATAGCAGGGGCCCATGGATGCTGGCCAAAGTGCCCAGGGGCCATGACTTCTCCATCCTTGTCGGGCCCAGGGCCTTCTTGGGGAGATCCAGCCCGTGGGGTGGACAGTGTATCTGGAGCCCTCTGACTCAGCTGCCTGTCTCTCTCTCTCTCCTCACCAGCCCTGCCCAGGCAGGAGCTTCTGGCCCCAGGGGCAACTTCCTCACTTGGTCTCATTTCTGGTTTCTACAGATCGAAGCGTCCCATTCCCATCTCCACGACAGCACCCCCACTCCAGTCCCCTCTGCCAGTGATCCCCCACCAGAAGGTAGGTGCTGACTGCGGCGGCGGGGTCCACTCAGCCCTGGTTCCTGGAGTGCTGGCCCTGGCCAGCCTGCCTGGTCTTTGGCTGGCCCAACTGGGAAGAGGCCGTGGGATCAGCCCTGCCCCATCCCTGTCACTGCTGCAGCTGACCCTGGGGAAGTGAGGCAGCCCCTCGGGAGAGACTTTCAAGCCCCTCTTGAACACTGGATGTGGGAATGAATGCCTGCCTCGGTGCAAGTCACCTCCGCTATGCCTCCCGGCTGGGCCAATAGAAGCTAGCTTGGGCAACAGTGCTCCCAGGAGAGGGGTCACCCTCCCGGCCAGGCAGGGGACGAGCATCCAGGCTCCGATCCTCATTTGCCAAGGGGGCCGGGACTGGGTGACTGCGGCTGAGGCCCAGCTTGAGGAGGACCTCCAGGTGTGGAGGGGCGTGCTGGCTACAGGCTTTCCCCTACCCAGATCTCTCCCTCTGGTTTCCACTTCCCCACCTGCCTCTCCCAAGTGCATGGCCCTGTAGCCCTTAGCATGTGCTGGTGATGGCCTTTGAGGCAGGCACAGGGGAGAAGGGAGGCCAAGCCCTGGCTCCAGACCTCACCACTGCCTGGGCCCTTCCCAAGGCCCCACTAAGCAGCTCAACCCCCGAGGGCTCCCTGCTCAACTTCTCCCTCTGTGTGAGCTGATAGTGACCCCACCTGTCCAGTGGGGCAGATTGGGCAGGGGAATAGGGAGAGGGGAGAAAAAGAGGCTGACAGGGGTGCGGTAGGTCACAGACTGGGAAAGTGGGTGGAGGACTGCTTGGGAGATGCTTACAGAGGTGGACTGAGGGGCCCAAATGTCAGCTACCCACTTCCTCGGCTTCCCTCCTCACCTCCCCACCACCTGCCCACAGCCAGCCCAGGGACCCCATCTCACTGGCAGTGTGGGGTCAGTGGAGCAGGAGTCTGGGCTGTGCTCACTGGGTAGCCACTCTCAGCGGCAGGGGGAACAGACACAGAATGGCCCATCCCCTGACCCCTATACCCACTTCCTCGGGCCCTGAGGGTAGGAAGCTTGGCTTGGCTTCCGTGCGGGGCTTGGCACTCTGCCCAGTTGGATGCCAGCCTCAGGCCAGGCCGGGAGCCATGTGCCTGCCTGCTCCTCCGCCAGTGTCCTCCCCTCCAGGTGCTACACCCAGGTGCTCTGGGCTTCAGGCTGTGGGGCTCGCACTAACGTATCTGTTTCAGGTCCACACAGGAGCGCTGGGACGCGTGTGGCCTCTAACTGCTCTCTTCTCTCTCCCCTGCATGGCCTGCCCTGTGCCAGGACCCCGCTCTGGATACGAACGGCAGCCTGGTGGCACCCAGCCCCAGCCCTGAGGCGAGGGCCAGCCCAGGCACCCCGGGCACCCCGGAACTCAGGCCTACCTTTAGCCCTGCCTTCTCCCCGCCCTCTGCCTTCTCCTCACTCGCCGAGGCCTCTGACCCTGGCCCTCCGCGGGTCAGACTGAGGGCCAAGACCAGCCCGGACGGGGCCCGGGACCTACTCGGCCCGAAAGCCCTGCCGGGCTCGAGCCAGCCGAGGCAATATAACAACCCCATTGGCCTGTACTCGGCAGAGACCCTGAGGGAGATGGCTCAGATGTACCAGATGAGCCTCCGAGGGAAGGCCTCGGGTGTCGGACTCCCAGGAGGGTAGGTAACGGGCGTGCAGCTCTCCACGGGTGGCCTGGGCCACCTGGGTCCTCGGTGCTCAGCAGAGACCTGGTCAGGTGGTCAGAGCGAGGCACTGGCCCCAATCCAGCCAACCCCGAGTCCATGAGGCCAGCAATGATCCTGTGGCGTTTGCCATGAGCCAGGCATGCCAGTGATTTATACGACCAACCACGCTGGGGTGACATGTCGGATTTTGCAGAGGAGGAAACTGAGGCTCAGAGAAGGTTAAGTCACAGTCCGTTTGTCCAGCTACCATGTGGCCAAGCGAGTCCTGAATGCAGGAGACTCTGACTTCCAAAACTTTTTCACTAAGCCGCCCCCCAGAACAGCACAGCACAGCCTGCTTCCTTCAAGAGCTATGCGCCGGTCCCCAGCCCTCTGGGGGGAAGAAGGCAGGAGCAGCGGGGAGCTGAGGGGTGGAAAAGCGAGTTCTCTGGGACTAGGAATGGTCTGGGAAGCTGCCTGGAGGAGGAAGCCCCTGAGTCGTATATGGAGAGACTCTTTGGCAGTGGCATGCAGGGAGCGGGTTTGCAGGAGTGACCTTGGCCAGGGTGGGGTGGCGAGGAAGCAGCACCCCAGGGAGAAAGGGGCTGTGCGGGAGAACAGCAGCCTCACCCCCAAGGTCTAGCTGGTGGGACTCTGGGAGCACAGCAGTTAAAAGCACATGGGACTGGGACACTGTGGAAGGGACCAAGGGATCAGAGTCCCCATACTGGGCCTGTGTTAGCTCCAAGCCCTTCACGCTTGTTCTCTCACCCTAACTTCTACTGCCGCCCTGTGCAATTAGCGTAGCCCTCTCCAGGCAGGGCAGGCTGAGTCAAGGCAGTAGAGCCTAGTGGTTCAGAGTTCCTCCTCTGAATCGTGAAGGAATCACACTATCCATGTCTCAGGGTTATTGGGAGGATAAAGGACCTAACACTTGTAAAGCTCTGAGCTTTGTCTGTCACCCACTCACTGCATGACACCTGGTATCATCACTGCCTGGAGCCACCCAGAAGAGTCACAGTAGGAATCCGGTCAGTCTGGCCCAAGCCCATGCCCTTGCCTTTGCCCTTGCAGCAGAAGGTACCTGTGCCCCATCAGATCACTGCTCCCTGTGGCCCTCAGCTTCCCAAGCTCCCCAGCTGTTTCTGGAATCCTCAGTGAGGCTGACCTCTGGTACTGCATGGTTTGCTTCCCTTAGCCAAGGTGACAGAGTCATATATGCCCCCAAGGTTCCCCAGCGAAGGACTTTTGCCAGAAAACTCAGGGAATAGTAGAACAGATATGGCCTCCTTGTCCCGCCTTTGTTGGGCTGGTAGGTCTTTCTGGTCCTTTCCAGGGGCTGGCCTCAGGCAGGGAGGTCAGCCTCTGGTGGCCTGGGACTCCCAGGAGACCCACCTGCAATGATGATATTGTCTCCCCATAGTGACCCTGCACTCTGGCTATGGACCAGCTAACAGTCCACATGCCTTATCTCTCAGCAACTCTCTCTAACACAACTCTCTCTCTAACTCCAGAGGTGGGCATGATTTTCGCCATCTTATAGCTGGAAAATAGATGCTCAGAGAGAGCAAGTAATTCGCTCAAGATCACACAGCTAGTAAGTGGCAGACAGAACTGACACCCAGGTCTGCCTGACTTCACTTTGCATTGAGACAGGGACTTGTCTACCTGCTCAGGGAAGTGAGGGGCCAGGCCCACCTCTGCTTCCCATAGTGCCTAAAGTACTCTGCTGTTGGTGCAGGGGCTGCCCAGACCCTGATGAATGTGTAAATTATTACTTGGTGCTCAGAGCAGCAGAGTCTGACATTTCCTCCAAGGGATGGTGGGCTAGGGGAGGGTGTGCAGTGGGTGATTCATCCAAAGTAAAAGCTGATGCTGCTGTCCCGGGCAATGCTGGCGGGAAGGGCTGGAGCCTCTGACCTGCGCTGGCCTCTGACCTAGGGCAACCTCTGCTGGGCTGAGGCCACCACCTATGCTAAGTGGGTCAGCAACAGGGTCAGCAAAGGCTAATCCCTGTGCTTGTCCATGGCACACTTCTCCCATGCTAAGCACCTTAGACTCAGGACCTGCTCAGTCTGCACAACCCACCGGTGTGGTAGGCACTACCATCTCAAGAATTAGAATTAGGAAACAGGCTGGGACAGATGGGTAATTTGCCCGGAGTCACAGTGCTAGGAAGAGGCAGGGTCACGACTTGAACTCTGTCCTGTCTGGCTCCAAAAGGAAGCCCCTTCCGCTGCTCTCTCCTCTGGGCGGCTTGGAGTGCAATTCCTTGGCGGCTCGTATCCTCTTGGAAGGAGGAGAGAGAAACAGATGTGGTGCAAGGGCAGACAGGCATGGGCATCCCAGCAGTCCCCTTCTTCTCCTCCCTTCTGGGGCTGGCACTGAAGGGCAGTGTCCCTCAGGCCATTCAGTGCAAGTGCCCCTGGGTAGGTCTTGCATCTTTGGCTCATCTTCCCCAAGACCCGGGCACTGTCTCCTCTCAGATGTGTCTGCTGCAGCCATCCCAGCCCCAGGTCCTGGGTGGGAGAAACTGAGCAGGACGCAGAAATCAATGCCAAAGAAGGAGCAGGCTGCCAAGGCAGGGCAGAGGCAGCCCCCACCTTGCCAGGCAAACACTGCCCTCTGCAGGGGGCCCTGGGCTGGTCAGGGCAAGAAATGACCCTGCAGCTGTCAGCACTGGCCAAAAATGGAGAAGGAATGGGGTTCCTTGCTGGCCCTTTCCTAATATAGCTCCACTTGCAGCTATTTTAAGCCTGGGAGGACAGAGGGAATTTTATCAGTTCTGAGGCAGTGGCAGGCCTGGGGCAGAGCAGGGCCACTGTGCCACTCCCTGGGATGGGGGACTACTGACTTGAGCCTGGCTCCCCAGGGTTTGGCTGCAAATGACCAGGGTCAGGCTGGCTGGGGCCCAGGCTCCCCCAGCTAGAGCCCACACTGGGCAGATTCAAGAAGATGGCAGAGATGACAGAGCCCCCCACCTTTCACACTGTCTCCCTCACAGGCCCCAGACAGGGACACTGGCCACAGGGTCTGCCACTGCAGGGAATCTGCATTTAAAGAAACACAGGACAGACACTGCTTTCCCTACAGAGACCATGCTCTGGGAGGCTCACTCTCAGGTCAGAGTGAGAGGAAGGGCCTCTCACTATGCTGTCCGAGCTGGGCTGCCTCAGCTGGGCGCTTTCCTTCAGAAAGCCTTGAGCTCGGCCAGGCGTGGTGGCTCACGCCTGTCATCCCAGCACTTTGGGAGGCCGAGGCAGGTGGATCACGAGGTCAGGAGATCGAGACCATCCTGGCTAACACAGTGAAATCCCGTCTCTACTAAAAATACAAAAAAAAAAAAAAATTAGCCAGGCATGGTGGTGGGCACCTGTAGTCCCAGCTACTTGGGAGGCTGAGGCAGGAGAATGGTGTGAACCTGGGAGGCAGAGCTTGCAGTGAGCCGAGATCGAGCCACTGCACTCCAGCCTGGGTGAAAAAGCAAGACTCCATCTCAAAAAAAAAAGCCTTGAGCTCACACTTCTCCCTGCGCCTCCTCGCTCCTCCATCCTGCCTCATTGCTGGCCCAAAGGGCCTTTAGGAGTGGCCCCTGGGGATTGTGCACCCCACTCCCCTATACCCCAAGAGGAGCAGCCAGAGCTGCCTGTGTCTCTTCTGGGAGGGAGAGGAGGTCCGGGTTTGGAGGGCATAGGTAACCCCACGCACACCCTGCCCCCTCACCACCGCAATGCCTGCTCAGGACAGAATTCCAGAGCTGCCCCCACAAAACAGACTCTTAGTCCAGAGATGCGGACAGGCAGGGAGGCCCCTGGCCCTCAGGCTTTTCGATAGCAGCCACAGCTGGTCCTGTCTCCACCTGCAGCTTCCTCTCTGGGATCTATAGCCAGGTTTGTATGTGGGGGATTCATGTATGTGGTACGAGTGTCCCTGAAGATGGACAAGAAAACACTTCTTTTGGCAAAGCAGAGGGCACTGGGGAACGCCCAAGAGGGAAACACTGCTGTGTCAGTCTCTGAACCAAACCGAGGGTCCCAGTCACTGCGACTCCCAGCTCTCAGCTCTCCCTCCTCGCTCCTTGCTCTCCTCACCCAGTGTGGTTTGGGCTGCTTCTGCCTCCACAATGACCAGGCTGATGATGGCCCCGGCGCTCAAACTCCCCCTGGTGGATCCTCCCTCTGACCACCCTGTCTTCTTTGCCCTTTTCCTCCTCAGGTGGTAGCCAACTCTCCAGCCAAGTTAGTATCAAAGGACAGCATGTGTGTGCGCTTGCGTGCCAGCCCCAGCATGTGTCTGCGTGTATCTGACGTGGATAGGGTGTGCCTGCTGGCATGTGTACATGTGTGTGCATATGGATGAGTGGGGTGCACTTGTGCCCCTGGGTGAGCCTGCATGTGTGTGAAGCTGGAGTAGAAGCATTTGGGGGTGGGAGTGGGGGCTCCATTCGATGGTTCTAATTTCATTCCCAATTTCCTGCTGCAGCAGCTGCTTAAGATGCGCCTGGGGTTGGTGACGGTGGTTGGGGGAAGGGTGCACAGGCTGTGCTGCTGCTGGGCCTGTGTGAGCCTGAAGACCTTTCTGTCCTGGCGACCCCTCGGAAGGGCTGCACTGGATCTTTTCTGCCCGGGGAGCACACCTATCCATTGGAGGGAAGAGCCTCCTGTGGGTAGAGGATGGCCAGCCACTCAGCAAACTGGACTTGAGGGGGCCTGGGCAGCCGGAGCCCTGCTCTGAGGAAGAAGCACATTCCCTGAAGCGTCTGGAAGAGCAGAGCTCTGGGCCACCAAGAGGGTGGCCTGCAGGAAGAGCCCCTTCATGGAGAAACCTTGCTCAGAATCCCTGTGGGTGCCACTGGAGCCGCTTTTCGCCTTTGGGGCGTTCTGGACTCAGCTTGGGCTGCTGCTCCCAACCCCTATCCCCAGCCCCACGCCCTGCTTCCCCTGCTGTGTGTGGTGGGAGATCTCTCTGTGCCTGGCAGCCCCTGCAGACCCTGGGAGTGAGCTCAGGCTCAGCCAGGCCCTGCAGGGGATCTGGGAATGCCAAGATGGGCAAGGAAACCCTTCTATGGCCAGGAGTGGTGGCTCATGCCTGTAATCCCAACACTGTGAGAGGCCAAGGCAGAAGGATCCACTTGAGGCCAGGAGTTCAAGACCAACCTGGGCAACATCGTGAGACTCTGTCTTTACAAAAAAAACAAAAATAGTGGCATATGCTTGCGATCCTAGCTACCTCAGGAGGCTGAGGTGAGAGGATCACTTGAGCCCACTTGAGACGTTGAGACTGCAGTGAGTGGAGATCACACCACTGCACTCCACCCTGAACAACAAAGCAAGACCCTGTATCCAAAAAAAAAAAAAAAAAAAAAGAAAGAAAGAAAAAAGAAAAAAGAAAACCTTCTGCACTGGGCTTTGGGGGAGGGTACCAAGGATTTTCCTGAATAGACCCAGACCACCCACCAATGGGAGACTTATGCAGCCTATAGGGGTTCAGGGCCTCGGCTCTGGGAGATCTCTCTCGACACCCACTGCACCCAGCCCTTGCCTTGGCCACCCATGTAACCACCACCTGTTGCCCTTTTCTCCTCCCCCTCCCTGCCTGTACTCCCCCACCCCTCCCCCAGCGCCGACTACCAGGAACGCTTCAACCCCAGTGCCCTGAAGGACTCGGCCCTGTCCACCCACAAGCCCATCGAGGTGAAGGGGCTGGGAGGCAAGGCCACCATCATCCATGCACAGTACAACACGCCCATCAGCATGTACTCCCAGGATGCCATCATGGACGCCATCGCTGGGCAGGCCCAGGCCCAGGGCAGTGACTTCAGTGGGTAAGCGCCTCCCTCCTCCTCCACCACTCAGCGCCTCCAGAGCCCGAGGGGTCTGGGCCATTGGGCGCCATCGGGACCAGCTTTCTTCCTTCACATTGGACCTCCTGGGGGCATGGCCCTTGGAGGGGAGCCAGCCTTCAGCAGGGTCTTCTGGAACGTGGGTATCCTCTCTTCACACCCTCTCCATGGTCAGCTTTAGGAGAAGGGTGGAGAAATGCAGAAAATGGTGGCTTCTCAAAGTGCTTTTCACAGCCTCTGCATTTTCCCAGGCTCCTTGAGGAGGCTGGCTTAAGAAGAGACTTCTACAGTCCTCTTAACAAGAGGACCATCCTGGAGGCCCCCAGGCCTCTCACAGCGAAGCTGTCCTTTAAGGAGGGGGACGTTGCCAGGTTCTTCCAGCGCTGAGAATTGATTCAAACACACTGGCTGGGTTTCTGGTTTTGGAAGGGGTCTGCAACCAGCTATCCACAGTACTGCTGGCAATCAGTCCCACTAATGGGAGCAATCCCCTCCTCTTTGCCCCAGGAAGCCCGGCCTCAGGGCAGTGGCATTTAAGACATCCTTGGTTCCTGGAGTTCACCCATTAGCTATGGTTGGGGAATTCGAGGGTTGGTAAAGAAAGAGTTGGCTGAAAATCATTTGTGGATGAAAAATGCTAGCAATGCAAACATTCATGCAGACAGACCTCTCTCTGTGTGTTTCCATGTCTCCCTCTCTGTGTCTCCCTTTCTCTGCATGTCTCTGTATCTCCCTCTATCTGTATGTCTCTTTCTGTCTTCCTCCTTGTTGCTCTCTTTTTCTGTCTCTCCCTTTCCCTCTCTTTCTCTCTCTCTCATCTGTATGTGTGTGTGTGTGTGTGTGTCTGTCTATCTGTTGTTTGTTTCTTACACACATACACACAGTTCCTCACTGTTTTCTACTTGGGAATACCACTGTGTTGGCTGATTCTCAATCTGGGCAACATCTTATCCCTGGGTCAGGATAAGAATTGCAGGATCCCCCAGCAATTCAAGGCAAAAAGTCTTGAAATGACAGCGATGTTTTTTTCCAAAGCCAGGAAAACAGATGTAATAAGAGGGATGGAAGGATTAAAAAGTCCCAGAGAACCCAGTTTCACTTGGCCATTCCAGACCCCAGCCCTTGTGGCCGTGATATGCATGCAGGTTATAAAGGGCAGGCTCCCCAGCCCCAAGGGTGGAACAGTGTAGGCTCCCTAGACTCTGCTGGGACTGAGGAGCCTGGGACCCTCTTGGAGATGCAGTACTTCCTCTAGGCCACCAGGGGGCAGAGGTCACCTGTCCTAGAGCTTCAAGTCAAACTCCCAAGGTTCAGAGCTGCTGTTCTTGGCGTAATTCTGGGCAAGGTTGATTGAATTCCATCATTCAAAGCAGAAAATATGACCATGCAAGTTTAAAAACACAAGCATTAGCTCATGTGTACCCAGAAAAACAAGGTTGCCTAAGCCCAAGAGCTAACAGGGATTTCCTGTTAACATTTCTTTGTCATGTGTGTCTTTGGTGTGCTCTTAAAAGTAGTAGCAATCGCCAAAGGGAAGTTCAATGGAAAATAATGGAAGAACTGCTCTTCACTAACTTTCTGTTTCCTGCACGTTGGGAAAACTGCTATCATTTGATCTCACCACTAGGGCATCCATCAGTTTTGGAACTGATGCACTGTTGATTAATCGAGGCTTCTTGAAGGACCTTTCCTATCTCCCTCCTGTCCCCTCCCGTCCCCTCCCTGTTCTTCCCCTGGTATGCCTGGAGAGGGTCCTCTTCTCCTCTTCCTTTTAATGCAGCCACGCTGAGCTGACCATGCCGTGGTGCCAGTGAGTAACTCTCTTGGCCATAACGTGCTCCCGTTTCTGCTGTTAATTTCCATGGTTCCTTCCTCACTGACCGTGTTTTTTCTCTTTTTCTTCCTCCTTCACCCACCCCATTCCAATAACTCATTTCTGACCCTAACCCGGCTCTCTTGTGTGCGCTGCCCCTCTGCTATCCCATGATGGACGCGCACTCACGGCTGGGTTTTCCTCTGCTTGGCAGGGCGTCACCGCTGGCGTAAGTAGACTCCGCAGTGTCTGTCCCGTCATCCGTCTGTCTGGTTGTGGGATGGTGTGTGGGTTTGGTGGGATGTGTCTGAGGACCAGTGGTCAGCCCACGTGCTCTGTCCACGCTCCTCCTCACACCCACCTGTCAGCCAAACGACATCCCTTGCAGCCTTTCCAGGCAAATAGTTGTCTCTTGGGCTTTATCCAAATAATGTCACTGTGGTCACAGAAATCACAGAGTAATGACACTCATGCTGCAGGCCCAGGCTGGGGTACATACCTGTGTTCTCCTTGCCATGCTTTGGGGTGGCTCCCCCCGCCTTTCCTATCTGCACTGCGACAGTGTAGATCTGGACGTTAGAATCCACACTGGGCCATTATTCAGGTCTAGAAGGTGACAAGGTAACCTCTTGGAGGCCACTCCACAGAATCTGCATGGGAAGTGTATCTGCAGGAGCCAGTGCCTGCCATGACCACCCATGGGAGGGGAAAGATGAATCAGATTGGGGACTGCACACAGTGAAGTAAATGCAGCAGTGACCTGATGCTGCAGTGACTGTGGAGTGTTTTCTGTGGCAAGAAGAACAAGCTGAAAGTGGGTCCAGAGAGTGGACTCAGGCCAAGGGCCCAGGACTGCAGGACCTGTTCCATCTTCTCTGCATATATTCTCCCTGAGCCCTGGTGTCATGAAAGGCACAGCAGTTTCCTCATCTGACTGCCAGTCTTGGTCACAGCAGCAACAAGAGTCCCTGGTCTTTGCATGGGGTGGTGGGAAATGAAGCCAGAAATGCTGAGTCCCAAGGGACTCACTCCCGGCAGCTTTCTTGAACCCTTGGAGCCAAGAAAGGCACAGGGGAGCTCATCCTGGGCACATTCCAGGAAAACAGCAGCAAACACCTTCCATCCACTTTCTGGATTGCAAAGCTCCGTAGAGAGGCTCAAGGGCCTTGCATCCACACCTTCCCTCATCCACTGCACAGTTCACACTCCCTCCTTCCCTCCCCTCCCAGTGGGTCAGGAGCCAGTACCAGGGAGACCCGGTTGTGCCTTCCTATTGCCCATCTCACCCAGACCTCAGGAACCCTTGGGACTCCTCCCTATACTAGAAATGGCCTGTCCCAGCAACAGGAAGATCCCACCCTCTCCTTTGCTCCCTGGGCAGCTGCAGGCTCCTCCCTGGCTGGACCCCAGAAGCCTCTGCTGGTCTTTCCCAGCTGATTCCAACCACAGGCTGCCAGTACCTATAGCTCTCTGGGCCAGGGTGGGGCCTTCAGGGAAGCCAGGGCAGCTCCACCCAAGCTCGATCACCTTTCCCCACCTCTGCTCTTGTAGCCCACCCTGAGCCAAACACAGGGACCAGTCCTGGGAGACTAGGTCAGTTCCCTGTCGCACTCCTTGCAGGGAGGGTATAAGACATGGACAATGGGGAGGTTCCTCTTCCAGCCAGTCAGCCCTCTGGGGGAAAGGGAGAGGCAGGCAGGAGAGTGCTGGACAGGGCATCTCTCCAGGCATAGGTCCAGGGCCTCCTACTGGGCAGAAGTAGCCTTCCTGAGCCCTATGACTATAGGGAGCCTAATGCAAAGGACACAGGGCTAGCAGCCAGGAAACCTAGGTTCTTGCCCAATGGGACCCCTATCTGCTGTAACCTGGAGCTAGTTGGCTGGCCTTTCTGGACCTCAGCTTTAGCATCTGTAAGAGGAGAGGGCTGGGCCAGCAGTCTGGTACTGTTGTGGGCTTCGCCTGAGCCCTCCCACGCCTCTGAGAAGGTGGGCTGGGTGGCTTGGTCCTCTGGCCCCCTGGCCAGGGCGAGTGGGCTGTAAGGCTTTTGAACATGGCCTGCACTGCAGTCTGATTCAGGCTGGGAGGCACTGGACCCGAGGGGCTCTAGGGTTCCTTCTGGCTCTGATCTAGGATTTGTTTCTTCAGCCAAGAGTTTTGTGCACCTATCATGTGCCAGACCCTGGGAGTTCTGGCACACGAAGGTCACGTGGTCCCCCACAGAGGGCTGCGCTTCTCTGGGGCAGAGGACCAGTGGCTTCCGTGCAGCCCCACTTCCAACTTCCCCAGGCCAGAAATCCCCTGTCCCTGCAGGCCATGCCAGGGCCGTGCCTTGCTGCCTTGTTTCTTACCAGCTCCCAGCACAGTCAGCTTACTGGCACTGAGCCCAGGGCCCCAGTCCTTTTCCAGGGCAGTGACAGCATTGGCAGCTCCTTGTTTGGATCCAAAAGTGTGAGGAGGGCAGCAGATGGACCCTGAGGAAGCCTCTGGGTCCCCGAATGGCCTCTCCCCAGCCAGCCCCAAACTCATGGCCTGCTCAGGGAGGTCAAAGAAGACCTGTTCTGTTTCCTCCCTCTGTAAAGGGGATCTGGGGGTGGGGATGTCTCTGCTGATGTCTCTGATGGGAACTGTGGCTCCCCAGTTTCCATCGGAGGTAGCTGAAATAGTGCCTCCATCCCACAAGCTGAGCCTCTAATCTCAGAGTCCTTCTGACTTTGGAAAGGCATTCCAGGGCCCTGATCACCCAAAAGGTCAGATCCACACTGGGCAGCCACATTAGGGATAGGGGTGGGGGCAAGGCCTAGGCTTGGAGTTAGCACTGGGGAAGGGCAGACCTGAGGGATCTGAGCCTCCTGTCTCTCACGAGGGAGGGGAGTCACTGCTTCACTGTGACCAACCTGAGCACCGAGGACCCAGGTCATGCCCATATCTCAAGTTCTCAGACAGCAATGGGTAAAGGCAAGGTGGGGACAGAACAATAGAGGCCACCAATGGGCATGGAGCAGGGACCCAGCAGGGTGGGAACTGGGCTCCAGCCTAGCCCTCGCCCACGGCCTCTCTCTGCATTGCAGGAGCCTCCCTATTAAGGACCTTGCCGTAGACAGCGCCTCTCCCGTCTACCAGGCTGTGATTAAGAACCAGAACAAGCCGGAAGACGAGGCTGACGAGTGGGCACGCCGCTCCTCCAACCTGCAGTCTCGCTCCTTCCGCATCCTGGCCCAGATGACAGGGACAGAATTCAGTGAGTGCAGGCTCTCGGGGTGGGTACAGAGGAGGGAGATGCTGAGGGGCCACCGGGGGCGTCGGTCGAGCACTGCAGAAGCCAGGGAGTCCTGCTACCTGCCCTTGAAGGTGGGCCAGCCTTGATGGTTTGTCCGCGGCTGGCAGGGCTCCTTCTGGGCCCCTCGGGCAGGCTGTCTGGTGACAGCAGCCTTCTGCTCCAATGTCAACTCCAACAGTGAGCAGCAGGCTTGGTGTGCAACTTCCGAGTGAGATGACTGCCCAGGGCTGGGATGAGGCCCTCTCAGGCCACCCCCTGACCCTTTCCCAATGTCCTCTGGGGCCTCTGCCCAGCATACAGTGGACAGGCAAAGGGGTAGTCACCATGTTGGGCCTGGCTGAATCCTGGGGACTCAGTGCCCACAGAGCCCCAGCATCTTTCGTTGCTGTGTCTCCTGTGAGTGCCCTGACCAGCTCCTTTCTACCCACAGTGCAAGACCCTGATGAAGAAGCTCTACGAAGGTCAAGGTAAGTGCCTGGGCTCAGGCTCTGTGGCCTTGCCCTCTAGCCCCGTCCCTTCCCGGGCAGCCCCCAGGTCACATCACTTATGGAAGGAACCTCTCAAGTTCATGGATTTGGAAAGCCTGGCCTGCAAAGGGCTCCAGCTGACACTAGCTTAAGGCGGCATCCTGGGTCACTGAGGCGGGCACCTGGACCCGAGTCTCTGTCCTCCAGGCCCAGGCTACAAGAGCAAAGGCTCTGGGCTTTCCCAACTTCATCCCTGGGCAGGGGCAGGGCTGCTTTGGCCTTTGCTGGGCTGTTGAGAATGAGGGCATCTTTCCCTGTGAGGACACCCGGCTGGCCACCTTGCCCACCCACTCATCTCAGGGCCTGTTCCCCTGTGATTCCAAAGGCTGGGCACTGGGAAACAGGCACTCAGGGGTCTGTGCTGGACACAAACGCCTGACCCCTGGACTCACCTGTCCAGACCCACGTTGAGGTACCAGTTCTGTAAATTGCTCAAAGCAAAATAGCTGCTGAAAAAAAGAACAAGCCCTGGACATGAGGACGGGTTTGTGCCAAGCTGGGGGTCTTAGAGCATGGTTTCCCCATCAGTTGCAGGTCTGAGGCCATAGCCACCAACCTACCATTGTGGCCCATCAGGTGCTCATAGCATGAGGGGGCATGCCATCCTGGAACTCACTGGAACCCGCTAGGGCCTTCCACAGTGAGGAGCAGGGCTCATTGTGACTGTGTGGACACTTCCGGTAGCAAATATGTCATCTGCATGTTCTTCCTGGCACTGTCTGCCTTGGGCCAGTGCATCCTGTGGCAGCCTCTGTGCAAGGGGCTGGGGCTCAGGGCACCCTCCCACCCTGGACCAAGCTTTCTGTACTTGCTAACCAGCAGGCCCAACCCTCAGTGGCCATGTGACCCGCGCAGAGTAAGACTCGAGCCAGCTTAGACTTGTGGATTTTATTTTTGAACCAACACTTTTGCCAACTCAAGTTGCTCTCACTTTTTGGCCAGGCATCCAAGTCTAAGGTGGGGTCGTGCCAGTCCTGCTAAGGATGGCATGCAGTCCCAATAACAGTTCTTAACCCTTCAGTGCCTGCAGGGCATCTAAAGAGTCCGCGATGAAGGGATGTTTGATTTAGCACAGAAGTTAAGCTCCAGCTACTTTAAGTTCTAGAACCCTCAGCTCTCCCCTCCTGCTGTGCTCTGCTGCCCCTGCGTGCTGCTCCCATGCTTGTCTTGCCCTCCTCTTAGAAGCCACCCATGTAGCTGCTTCAGTGAGCAATGCAGATGTTCCCAAACATTTGATAAAAGAGTCTTTAAATCACACACCCCAGAGCAAGTGGCTTCAAAATCCCCCGGGTTCCTTCCAGCAAGAGGCCAGCAGGGGGCCTCTTTTCTCCCTCCCCAGGGACCCAGAGCCCCGCCCTCTCGGCTCCCTTCTGGTTCCTTGATGTTCTGCTTCCCTCTGGTATGCAAGGCAGTCACGCTCAGCTTGTGCCTCATTAGCCAGATGTCTTTAGAACGGGAAGGAGTACTGTGGAAATGCATTGCAGCAAACTTTTGTCTTTTCTGTCCCCTGGAATGTTTGCAGGCTCTGCAAAATTATTGAGTGAGGAGAGCACAAAGGCAGTGTTGAAGGGGGTCCCCAGGCCTCGTCCTTGGCCTTCCCCTTCCCTCCTTCAAGGAACATCTCTTGAAGTTTGTTCTGCCTGGTCTTGAGGGTAATTGAAGGGTGGGAGAGTAGTCCTTCCGCCAGCGGCCTAACCCCATGAAAGCTTGGTTCAGCCTCAGCAAAAGGCAGCCTTCGGAGCCTCTCCCCTAGCTACAGCAGGGTTTCAGCCTAGGGAAATCTGGGAAGAGGGCCTGGGAAGTGGCTCCAGTTGACTTCCTCCCACCGTCCCAGGAAGCTTCCCTCACCCCATTAGCACCTGTCTCTGGGGTCTCAGGCCCTGCAGTGGAGGCTCTGAGGCACCCAGCCAGCCTCTGCCTAGGTCTGGAGGGGGTTCCTCTCCCTTCTTCTGACTTTAATTTCTGGAGAGTTGTCCTCATGGGCAGAGCCACCCATGTCACTGAATCCCAAACAACTATCCCATGGACCCAGAGGCGGGTGCAGTGGGTGTAGCAGTTTTAATCTGTTTGTGATTGAAGCCTAAAGCAGTGTCTGTGATCACTGGTCATGGCTGGGGCCCCAGGCTCACCCATGTCACCGTCTGAGCAGAAGGGAAATGCTTTATCCCATCCTGGTCCAGGCCGGTCAGGAGTCTTGCTCCTCAGGGGCCTGAGCCGCACTTCTATCTGTCCCCACTCCCAAGTTCGAAGCTGCACCCCTAGACTCTCCTGACCCATCTTATTGGCTGAGAGCAGCCACATTCTCTTTCTCCTCCCAGATCCCAGTGGGGATTCTCAGGGTCTGTCTTGAAGGCTGAGTTTCCCCAGGGAGGCTTCACTGTAAACTGCTTCCAAGTGTCTCACTCCAGCAGAGCCTGAGTTTGCCAAGCCTTTGCATGGTGACACCTACACAGTCTTATACCCGTGCAAAAGTGCTTTCTCCTTCCTGGCGCTGTGTGGTGAGAAAGTCAGCAGGAATGTTGAGTGAGTAGGCAGGGGCTCTGGGACCTCGAGGTCAGGTGTGAATCCACATGTGAAGAAGACCTTGCAAACTTTCCCTTCACCTCCATCACTGCTCTGCCTCCAAGGTCCACCCCCAGAGTCCCAGGGCAGCTCACAGCCCTCTTCTCCTCTCAGGTCCTGGCTCCTAATGGTATCTCTGTGTCTGGTAGCATGTAGCTTCCATCTGAGGCTCCAGTGCCAACCTGCTGGCCAGCCCAAGATAGAGTATAATTTCCAGGGACTCTATCTTTACGGGTGAGGTGGGAGAGGCCTGAACAGCCCAGGCATCAGCTATGAATTTAGCTTCCCACTCTAGAAGGACCCAGGCACCTTAGGAAATTGTCCAGGCTGACTTGAACATCAGCCTCCTGCCTACTGCCACATGGGAGCTACTTTAGTAGGTATAGGTGATGCTGTGGCTCCCCAGTTTCCATCGGAGGTAGCTGAAATAGTGCCTCCTTCCCACAAGCTGAGCCTCTAATCTCAGAGTCCTTCTGACTTTGGAAAGGCATTCCAGGGCCCTGATCACCCAAAAGGTCAGATCCACATTGGGCAGCCACATTAGGGATAGGGGTGGGGGCAAGGCAGCGCTTGGATCTGCAAGGCATGTGGATCCCACTGCTTGGGGGAACCATCCTGGATGTAGCCCAGCATGAAACCCAGACATCCCCCTGATCCCTTATAAGTGCAGCCTCTGCATTTCCCTGATGCCCGCCTGGGTAAAGAGCTCTGCATCTCCCCATCCTTCCAAGCATTAGGAACAAAGCTGATCTTAGTGAAGAGTCCCTAGAGGAGCTGAAGGTGAGGGTTGCATCACACAGCCCTTTCCATCCCAGATCATGTAAAAATCCTTCCATGCCCCTTTTCCATCATGCAAACATTAAGCTTCTTCCAACAAAATGCCAGGGCTCACTGGCTCCGCTTCTTCCCTCCTGCAGCCTCTCAGACGCCCCCTTCCCTCCCTCCTCTGGGCAGTCTCTCAGTTTTGCCCCCACTGCAGCCACCTCGCTTACTTGCCGCACAGCACAGGGCCCTTCTGCCAATGGGTGCCCCCGCCAATGGGCCCCTTGTAAGAAAGCAATGAAAAAATTACCTCTCTTCTTTGGATTTTGAGTCCCTGGTGTTCTGCCACCCTAGCGAGTTTGAAAACCAAAACTGAAGCACCAGGGATGTTGCCCCAGGTGCCACTGCCTAAGCAGCCCCTGGGGAGTCTTCTTTCTTGCTCTTGCTCTCCTGTCTCTTTTCCTCTTTCCCATGCCTTCCTCTCCTGGCTCCTTTCCTTGGCTAGCTGAGGATTTTCAAACAGCTTCAAGTAGAGCATGCTCACTAGATCAGACTCTCCAGGGCTGTCCCTGTCCCTGTCCCTGTCACCAAGCACTGATGACAGACTATTACCCAGCCTCCACAGGCCTTGCTAGGACTTGACGATTTACAGGTTAACTGCCTGTGTCTGATCTTGTGCGCCTGTGTCCTGGGTAGTGTCTATGGGATGGTCAGGACTGTTTGTAGTGCTGTCAGCAGGACTCAAGGAGCCCCACCACACCACCTTTGCTCGTGCCATCTCCACCCCTTCACCCCAACCTCAGATAGGCAGGTATGTGGCAAGGGAAGAAGACACCGGCACTTAGATTGTGATTCTGCCCCTGAGTTTCTGTGTGGCTTTAGGTCATTCATGTGACTTCTCTGGGCTTCAGCTTCCTCTTAGTATAAGGAAAGTTCAGACTAGACTGGTGGTTTTCAAATATGTTATATGTTAGCAGTGGGTCCCTTTTGTCAAACAGTCTTAGACAGAGACCCAGTATGCAGGATTCAAGGGGTAGAGAGAGAGAGAGACTGCCAGGTAAAGCACGTGCAGAACCGAGGACCTCTGTGAGTGTGCGGACGTGGGGGCCAGACCCGATGACTGTTACTGTGCAGAAATAGAAGGCCAGCACTGCCACATCTTCCTTTCGAAGACTTAAAGTTGCTCTTCCTGATTTTTATATGCTAGCAATTCACTTTTTTTTTTTTTTTTTTGAGATGGATTCTCACTCTGTCTCCAAGGCTGGAGGGCAGTGGCGCAATCTCGGCTTACTACAACCTCCACCACCCAAGCTCAAGCGATTCTCCTGCCTCAGCCTCCTGAGTAGCTGGGATTACAGGCATGTGACACCATGCCTGGCTAATTCTGTATTGTTAGTAGAGACAGGGTTTCACCATATTGGCCAGGCTGGTCTTGAACTCCTGACCTCAAGTGATCCACCAGCCTCGGCCTCCCAAAGTCCTGGGATTAACAGGCGTAAACCACCGTGCCCGGCCAACTTCTTTCTTCTTTTTTTTCTTTTTCTTTTCTTTCTTTCCTTCTTTCTTTCTTTTTTTTTTTTTTTTTTTGAGACAGAGTCTCACTCTATCACCCAGGC